GTGATTTGTGGGAAAATTCTACTTCTACCAGTCCTGCATCACCTTAAACGAAATTGGGTGAATACATCTTATAACTGATTTACTGGTAGTCACGAAAACTGATACTTAATTCGAAAAACTAGTGACGAGTTTGTTCACTTTTGCGGCATGGCACTGCGATTCGAAGGAAAAGTTGGTTGGAAAGAATTCGCATAAAAATGTGCCAAGCTTTCGTCTGCACCAACCAACTTTCGCCTCGAAATGGAGAGCCATGCGGCAGTATCAAACAAACGCGTCACCAGTCCCATACCAACGCCGGTCGAGAATGCTGTCTCTCTACACTCGCGCCGGACATGGCGAAACCAACTGTCTGTAAACGGTGGCAAGCAGAACCAGTGAATAGGAATATATAAAAAAATCTCTCATTCTCACTTCTTGAACGAGACCTCTTCTTCACCAATTCCGTCGATAGGCCCATGTTTGGCACAAACTACCGCCAACCATTTTGGCAACCCCCAATCTGGTCGTGAGAGCGACAGTCACTGAGCAACTGCATTTGAAAGTATTCTTCGAGGATGACTTTTCCACTTTCTAGCGCCAGAAAAGCTGGATTCGGTTGTGGTACAAGTGTGGGAGCAGAGTCCTTTGTAGAAGAGTGCAGCAATGCGATAATTGCTTCATTGTATGCATACCTTTGCCGTTTTGGTACATTCTGGCTTAAAGCGAGAAACAGCAGCCGCGAAAGCAACAGTAGTAAAAGCAGAATAGGGAGAAGAGCAGGAAGTTGGAGAAGAATGAAGCTGTGTGTATATGTATGTATGTATGTATGAATGAATGTGTGTGGAGGCTGAGATGCAAGCACACGGAAGGTCCGTACAACCCTTTACCAGACACCGAGTATGCGTCGGTCAGGATGGCGTGGCAAATGAATGTCACGGGGCATCGGGGAACACTTCCCAGCGGAGGGTGGAGTTGAAGAGGCAGACATTAGCGGTTTTACAACTCGTAAGCACACATAAACGGGCAATACTGCCCTAATTTCGCCCCAACAGAATGTTACCAGCCCTTGCAGGTGTCCACTGGCCGAATTTCATCTCATTAGTCGGCTTTGTCTCCAGCCCAAGGCCCTGCTGATGCTGCTGGATGGTTTTTCACGAAATGATCTCATTAAAAAACCACAATAACTGGGCTCATCTGTGAATGTTTTTTTGTTGGTTTTGAGGGTCTGATAGTCGAGTTGCCTAAAATTAAACGGAGACGTTTTTCCTTCAACCTCGTCTACGTCTGACAGTCACACAGCTACGAGGTACATTGGCTAACAAGAATAGATTGGCATTTGTTAACGGCTGTTTCATCAATATAACTAAATAGTATTTGACGTTACTACTTTAACTGGAGTAAGTAGTATGCGAATGTTTAAGCACATTTTTAATAGAGAATTTGTGCCTAAATTGTCGATTTCGAAAGCTGCCTGACCGGCGTCAAGCTTTCCTCGGCTCAGACGGCTGAGGACACTGCGTGGAAGCGTCTAGTCATTTTGGTGCCCTCGACGACACTTCAGTTGCCAGTCGGAAGAGTTGACGACACCAGTCGCCGCCTCGAATCCCACCCGGGCCACGAGAGAAGTCTGCGTCAGGCATGGGAAAAGTAGGACCATCTTAAGGCGATGGACAATGGCCCCTTTGGCACTTCATCACAGCCGGTGGGGCTAGACCATCAACCCTATTGGCACCAAGGACCCAGGAGCTAGCCTTAATTGCAGCTTTTATCGAAACGGGCATATCTCGTGTACACACAGTTTGCCCAGCTATGCCTTAACTGT